ACAGGCTCCAAAGCCACAGAGAAACCCTGTCTCGAAAAACAAAAACAAAAACAAAACAAAAAAAAAAAAAAAAGAAAAAAAAAAAGAAAGAAAAGAAATGGAGGAGGTGTGGATTGTGGGAAGTTGGGGTTACTGGGAGGAGAGAATGGGAGGAAGTGTGGTTAGGAAGTAACAATAAATAAATGGATAAAGAAAGAAAAGAAGGAAGAAAGAAAGATTTTTTTAAAAAAGGAAATAACCCATCTCACCCATTTAAAGTTGCACAATGTTTAGGAAATTTTCTTGCAATGAAATAACATCTTAGTTCTCTAATTGTGGACTCTCTGTGTTGAATGCTACAAGCTATACGTTATAGATGCAATTCGTATTTGTTGTTCCCCACAGACTGAAAGCTGTAAGAGAGCTTGTTAACTCAGTAGCTGCTACCTGCTGAGGCCTCTCTCCAGCCTAAAGAGTTTATTTTATTTACCGCCTTACACCTGTGGATAAAGCAGCACGTGACTCACAGTTTTTGAATGAGTGATTCTCTAAAACCACATTTTGTCTTGGGCAAGGGTCTGTGGAAGTTTGGCATTATCTCCCGCGTGTATGTGCGTGCATGCACCTGGGTACATGACCAGGGGCCAGAGAAGGACATTGGGTACTCTGTCCCATCTCTCTCAGGATTGCCTTCTCAAGACAGTGTCTCTTACTGAACCTGGAGTCTGCTGTTTGGGGCCAGCAGCCACCAGGCCCCAGCAATCCTCCTGTCTTCCATCTTTCTCCCTCTGCCCAGCTCCTTGCCACAACAGCTCTGCAGTTACAAGTGTGCAGTCATGCCTGTCTTTTTAGATGGGTACTGGGGATGCAAACTCAGGTCCTCATGCTTGGGGTGCAGTAACTACTCTTACCTGGTAAGCCTGCTAAGCCATCTCCCCAGACCCAGGTTTCATCTCATCTAAAAAAAACTGTGTCAACTTCTTAGGGCAATCCTGAGGCCTTCCTTCTACTTCTTCTTCATATCTGTCATTCATCACTGTTGAGCTATAAGGCAATAGGATCATCTCTTTTAACCATATGTGGGTATAGAGGAATGTAAGTGCATGTGTACACGTGAACGCACACACATACACATACCCCTTTTTAGAAAAAACAACACAGGTATTTCTTTGTTTTTATTTTTGTTTTCTTTTGCATTTTCAAGGTAGGGTTTCTCCATGTAGCCCTGGCTATCCCAAAACTCACTCTATAGACAAGTCTGGCCTCTAACTCAGAGATCCACCTGCCTCTATCTCCTCAGTGTTGGGATCACAGGCATGTGTTGCCATGGTAAAGCATTAAAAAAATTCATAGTTTTAGCCAGGAAATTGATGTGGGAAGTCCTTCTGTATATGCGTTGCTTTTATTTGTTAATGAATAAAGAATCTGCTTTGGCCTATGATAGGGTAGAGTAGAGTTAGGTGGGGAAAGCTAAACTAAATGCTGGGAGAAAGAAGGCAGAGTCAAGGAGATGCCATGTAGACGCTGGTAGGAACAGACTTGCAGGAACCTTGTCGGTAAGTCATAGTCATGTGGTGACACACAAATTAATAGAAATGGGTTAAATTAAGATGTAAGATTAGCCAATAAGAAGCTAGAGCTAATGGGCCAAGCAGTGATTTAATTAATACAGTTTCTGTGCGGTGATTTTGGGACTGAGAAGCCAGGAACAAACAAGTGGCCTCCTATATCAGGCAATGATGGTGCATGCCTTTAATCCCAGCACTTGGGAGACAGAGGCAGGAGACCTCTGTAAATTCGAGGCCAGCCTATTCTACAGAGCGAGTTCCAGACAGCCAGAGCTGTCTCCAAGAAAAGTACAGGACCTAAATTCAAAGGATAAGTGAGTGGAAAGCTGGGGACACCTGTACTAAAGTTTGCTCCTTCAAGTGTCTCCTTTTAAACACATACATACAAACAAATCTTTTACAAAGAACACAAAGGTGCCAGAGAGATGCCTATGCACTTAAGAGCATTTTCTGCTCTTACAGAAGACACTAGTTCAGTTCCCAGCACCCATATCAAGCAACTCAATGCAACTCAAAGGAATCACATTTGTGGTGTATACACACACACACACACACACACACACACACAGTTTATTTAAACTGGAAGGAATCAATTTCATAGAACTTCAAATATAATACTTTGGTGATAATTAAATTTGGAATGACTATAGTCTTCTGTCTTAGTTAAGGTTTCTATTGCTGTGAAGAGACACCATGACCACAGCAACTCTTATAAGGGAAAGCATTTAATTGGGGTGACTTGCTTCCAGTTTCAGAGGTCCAGTCCATTATCATCATGATGGGATATTTTGGCATGCAGGCAGACATGATGTTGGAGAGGTAGCTGAGAGTCCTACATCTTGCGGGCAACAAGAAGTGTTCTGTCTCACTGGAAGTAACTTGAGCATAGGATACCTCAAAGCCTGCCCCCACAGAGATACACTTCCTCCAATAAGACCACACCTCCTCTTAATGCCACTCTCTTGGGAGGGGCATTTTCCTTCAAACCACCACACTATCTGAGGATGTTGGGAATTCAGGAATATGATCTTAAAAAGCCAAAGTTGGAAGTGGAAATGTGAGAGTAAGCAGGATGTTTACTGATGGCAGTGACCACCACACCCCTGACCAGGAGAGACTGTAGAGCAAGGAGAGAAGAGGAGGAGAGCTGAGGTGCTCTGTGGCTTGAAGACGAGACACCAACAGCCTGAAGGCAATGACTGAAGTTTAGAAACTGCTTTTTTTTTTTTCATCACTCCAGCACTCGATTCAATGCTTGACTCAGAAAAAAAAAAAAAAAAAAAAAAAAAGGGAACATTTACTTAAGGAATGAGCAAATACATTTCTGGAAAAGCAGGTATGTTGCCATACCGTGCACCTCACATCTGTGCCAGAGCACAGCATAGTGCTTCTGGCCAAGGCTCAGTCTACAGCGATGGAAATTTCCATGCCTGGCAAGCACCTATGGTAGGCTTTTTTTTTTTTTTTTTTTTTAATATTTTTAACACTTTATAAATTACATGTTGTAGCTGAAGCCTTCTCCTTCACTTGGGTTCAGATAAATAGCTTTAATTCTTGCATAACCAATGGAAAGTGCCCAGGCTGCTTTGTTCCCCGGACATGCTTGTCTTTTTTTTTTTTTAAACTAAGAAACACCAACCATGATCCTTGGAAATCCATCAAGACTTTATCTTTTTCGAATTCCAGCCAGAGTGAGAAGCCTGGCCATTTTGAAGGACACTGCTCTCCAGTTTTTCTCTTTTCAATCACACATATGCACTTAGAACTCTTGCTGGAGAACATTCAACATGCAGGAAAGTCCCGCGAAAGACAGTTGGTCTGAAGGAACAGAAAAACCTTTGAGACTGGTTATGCCCTGGTTTTCTAAAAACTTCAATCTGGTGACCTTAATATTCTCCCTAATGTTGTAAGCTGCCACTCATACCCCAATGTTGGCATGCTTAGAAATTTGCATATACCCGCCATGCACTTTGCTAGAAAAATAATCGCTGCAGAGAATGCAGAATTGCAAAGAAACTGTTTCCACATAAGCACCAACTCGTTGCACTGTCGTTTGGAAGCGGGTTGCAAAGTTTAGTTCTGTGGGAGTTTCTGGCAAGCTTTTGAATGGCTGGAGTTAAATGGGGCTGCAAGAAGAAAAAACTAAATCGTCTAATGGCCAAAACTAACAGGGAGATGTAGTTGAAGCATTCAGATGGCTGCAGTGCTGCGTTCTTCCAGGCAGCTGATGTCAGTTCTGGGAACCAGTGTTCCGAGCAGTGGAATAAAACGGAGTTGATGGGTTAGGCTGAAAGAGAAGTCCATTTTCAGCTCCCTGTCAGCAGCTGATGGGAGAGAAGCAAGCCTGCAAAACCAATGCACAACTCCAGCCCCGAAGCTTTGGCACCGGACATTTCAAAATGATAGTTGGGAGAGATTAAAATTGTTGTCCTGGCTATGCTTTCTTGGACCACTGAAAGCAACAACAACAACAAAAATAAAACAGATATTTTAATTTTTTTCTCCTTTCCTTATCAACTGTCTTCGAGGGGGGTTGTGCTCGAACAATTAAATTCTGAAGTTAACTATCTGAAAGCACATGCAGCAGAGCAGAAATTTCATAGATAGTGGATACGCCTCTCAAAAAATCCCTGTAGCGGACGTGGCAGCCTGGGTCCTGAAGACATTGTCGCTCTTGGGAGAGCAGTCTACATAATCACCTAAGGCCATCTGCTTTCAAACTTCTCAGAGCGTGCTACAAGATGATACCAGTATCCAATCTTGCATCATTTTAATTTTTTTTTCTGACCACAAGAACTCACCAGAGGAGAAAAGGACCAACAGTGGAGAAAGGTTTCCATAGCCTGTGCAAGAAACCGAGTCAAGACATCTTAAAGAGGTATTTTTTCTAGGTCCTGAGGAGAGAGCGTTCTCTCCACCCCAGCGAGCGAGGCTCTGTGCTGCGTTCTGTGGTGAGAACACCGTGGATGCGGTCAATGAATTCCCTCTTTGTGTCGCACGTTTGCGACCCGTTTCTTTTCAGGAATCGTAGTTTCGCAAAGCAAAACCATTTGCTTCCTTTGACACTGCAATTAACTTCGTGTGGAGGATTGGCAGCAGTCTACCTACTTTGTCTCCCACATAATTCTGAGGGGGGCAGGGGGAACACTAGATGCAGAGTCAGTTTGCACGTTAAATGAAGGTCAGAGAGTAATCTGTCTCTTCCCAAGCATTTGGCCAAATGTCTTTCCCCATCAAGGACCCACATTTGCTTCCCTGTTCTGATCAGATTCTGTCACCTTATCTCAGGACTCATCTCTTTCAAAGTGCATTTGTACCTTTTCCTCAGAGGACTTCTCAATCTCCACGCCTTCCCCTCTATTCAGCACATACCTGAATGTCTACTCCAATCCACAACTGCAGTTTAGAAGAGAATAACTTATCTAAAACGTTTGCATAGAGAAAATTTCATACCTTTTACTTTCTTTTCAGTCTTACTGGCAGAGGAATCTTCTTAAAGGCTTCAGCTCACTGGGTAGTCTGGGCAAAGGAGGAGAGAGGAGGTGCTGGGAGGCGGTTCCGTACAAGTGAACCTTTGTCTGTTTTGTCTCAGCCTGGGATTGACAGCCTCGGCTCCAGCCAGCAAGGAGGGGAGAAGGGGAGTGGAAAGAGACAAGAACCGTCTCTCTTGGGCTCTTCCAAAGCAGAATGAACTAAAGAGTTTCTTCACAGAGGGACATAACGAGTCTATACAAGAACTTCAGTGGTGCAGAGTCTCGGGGCAATAAAATTTGAAACCCTGGGGATTTAAAAAGAACACAGAGTGACTTTTACCTTAGAAGTTTGGGGGTGTGTGGAGGGAAGAGAAGAGACAGGGCAGAGGACATACTACTTAGAAAAAGGTAAAGGTCTCTTGCCCTTTTATGGTGTCCCTCACCATTTGTATAACTTGCAACATTCTGAGAAAAGGTATTTTGAAATTCATATTTTTATCCCTCCATCATTTAGTCATTTGATGAAAGTAAATATAAACAATTAAACAGAAAATTATTTGGTCTCAGAAAAAAAACTCAAAAGGAATTGGCCATATTTTGAACAAACAGTAAAATTCTAGAAATTGTAACCTCTATTTAACTATCTGTTTGTTTGTTTGTTGAGATAGGGACTCACTGTGTAGCTCTGGCTGGTCTAGACCTGGCTATGTCTACCATACTGCCCTCGAACTTGCAGTGATACTCCTGCCTCAGCCTCCCGAGTGCTGGGATTATAGGCACATACCATCATACTCAACTCCCATTTAGGCCTTTGACACTCAGGAGCAAGCTTACAGGAACTAGAGACATTATAGCAAAATAGGCATTACACAGGAAGAAAACAGAGAAAAGGGCAACCCAGGTTATATTAAGAAAAGCACCACAGTGAAAGACAGAGTAACAACCTTGGGCTTTGACAAGTTGCTTTGCATGGCTGAAACCAGGGATCTGGGAAATGAAATTAGAGAGACAGGAAGAAGTAAGTGACTGAAATACATCCAGTGACAAACAACACGCTCTAGTTACAGTCTATGGTTGAGATAAAATATCCTGACAAAAGTCAACTCAGAGCGGAAGAGGTCGTTTCAGTCACCAGTCCAGGTTTCAGCCCATAAAACACAGCCAAGGCAGCAGGAACTTCAAACAGCCAGTCACATCACACCTGCGCTCAAGAGCAGAAAGAAAGGGTGCACACAAGCTCATTGTGGCTTGCTTGTGTTCAGCTTGATCTCTCCGCTCTTTTACAAGACTCTCTGCCTAGGGAGTGGCGCCACCCATGGTAGACCGTGTCTTCTCACATCAAGTAACTCAAGATAATTATACACACATATGCCCACACACCAACTTATTGAGACAAGTCCCGATCGAGGTTCTCTTCCTGGGAGATTGTGTTATGTTGACAAAGCTAAGTATTACATCCAAATGAAAATCTGGAATTTTATGATGGAAGCTAGTGAAAATGATAGAAACATTAGAAAAGATGACACCTCCCCCCCCCATTGCAGTGTAGAAGAACTATAGTGTGAGAGGAAAGACAACTGAAGTGAGGATGGGGTTGGGGACAGAACTCTAGCAGTGATCCACAGAGAAAATAGGTAAAACTGAGTTAGCAGGTAAGGGAAAACTGAGTCACATGGCTGGCGATTATGTTATATTTGAGACAGGGCTAGTTGAAAGAAGAGAACATTAACTTTCAAAGGTTTGGGGCTTGATGGACTGTGCTGTCATTCATCTGGAAAAGGAATCCAAAAAGGAGAACTGTTATTCAAACAGGAAAACAAATATAGAAGTTTTGGCTGAAGCAGGAGTGGAAAGACAGAAATTAGTTCTGCTGGGTAATTTGTTAGTAAATGTTGAGTTAAGGAGCATTTGGGACTGTTTAATTGGCAACCGGTTGGACAGACCTGGAGCTCTGGAAAAAGTCTCTTTAGAGAGTTTACTAACTAATCTACTAAATGCAAATAACCCCAACTAATGACTTGCAGAATTTTTCAAGTATGTGATAGCTGGAGCCATGACAGTGCCGCCTAAAGTATACTGTGTTGTGTGCTACGCTCATGGCATGTGAGAATATATCTCCCTTCTTTATGACCCTCAAGAATGGCTTCAATTATAGGATCTCTTACCATGAGAGGAAGCATCAAAGGGGTTAGATAACTTGCCCAAGGCCACACAGCCAAAAAACAACAGGATTGGTGCAGTTCTAACGTCATTGCTTTTCGTTCTTATTCTAGAATGCCTCTCAGAGGAGATTCTAGAGGAAAGAATAGTGCTAGGACCAGAATCTCAAGGATCATTAGTCTCTGAGGGACAGGTAGACAGCGTAGAAGAAAAGTAACAAAGGTCAAACAAAAGAGTACCCTGGATATTAGAGTGGCAGAGGCCAAAAGGAAGACTATTTCAGTAAGAGTAAGGGTGACTCTCAATAGTAGCTTTGGAGAAGCTACACACTCCCACCCTGGCAGAGAGGTAGTCAGGAAAAGCAAGGTTCTGATCTACCAGTATTTATGTGCCGAGATACTTAGTTTTGTCCACTTTACACAATGTTACAATCGCCTGGGAAGAGTCTCAGTGAGGGATTGTCTACATTAGGTTAGCTTGTGGGCATATCTGTGGAAAAATGCACAAATAAAGATAACTGGTATGGGAGGATCTAGTCCACTGTGGGAGGCACCATCCCCTAGGCAAAGGGTCCCAAACTGCATAACAACAGAGAAATCAGACTAAGCACAAGCCAGCCAGCCAGCCAGCCAGTCAGCCAACCAGAAGGCAAGCAAGCAAGAGCATGTATGTATTTGTTTCTCTTTGCTCTTGACTATGGATGTGATGTGACTAGCTGTTGGAGCTTCTCGCCTTGACTTCCCCACAAGCAATGGGCTATAACCTGGAATTGAAAACTAAAATAAATCCTCCTTTTCTCTAAATCTCTTTTTCTTTTTTATTTCCTTCCTTCCTTCCTTCCTTCCTTCCTTCCTTCCTTCCTTCCTTCCTTCCTTCCTTCCTTCCTTCCTTCCTTCCCCTTCTGTCTCTCTTTTCTTTTCTTTTCTTTTCTTTTCTTTTCTTTTCTAGTCTTTCTTTTCTTCTTCTCTTCTCTTCTCTTCTCTTCTCTTCTCTTCTCTTCTCTTCTCTTCTTTTCTTTTCTTTTCTTTTTGAGACAGTATCTGTCAACATAGCCCAGGCTTTCCTGGAACTCACTATGTAGAACAGTCTGCAGTCTGGCTTCAAACTCAGAGATCCACCTGTCTCTGCCTCCTGAGTGCTGGGATTAAAGAAGTGCACCACCATGCCCAGCCTTTGTTTGTTTGGTATAAGAGTGTAGAAAGATGAGGAAAACAGGAAAGCACCTTCCATTATATCTGAAGAGCTACCGACCTTCTTCAGTTTATGTAGGTCTATGAGAAGCATGCTGCTAATCTGATGTTCCCCGCAGTGGGATCCTCCCCTTTCTCTTTCTTTTTCCTTATTGTGTTGCTCATTCGGTCTCTTTTGGGTTCCAGCGCATTTTATATTATCCTTCTGTTTCCAGAAATACCCTAGTACCCAGCATTCTTGGCACTGCTTTCTGCATGCTGGCTTTAAATGGTATGCAGCAGTTCTCGGTATTGGTCTCAGACTCTGGATCACATCGGAGTCACTTATTTAAGTGTTCCCTGAGGTCGCATGTTTGGACCCAGGCTTTGTAGCTTCTAGTTAGGTTGTCGAGCATTTACTTATTACTACCTAGGCTTTCCACTGTGTCAGGTGAAAATATTAAAGACTGCTAAGTGTTGAAAGACTTGCTGTTACCTGCACAGAGCTGGCCATTTTAAGAAGCAATTGAGTTGTGAACCAAGACTGGCAACTAAAGAATCTGCCCTTGTGATTTTTATTTTGGAATTCATTCAAATCTGGCATGGTGGTGCACATAATTCTATCACTGGGGAAACTGAGGCACAGGGACTTCAGGTTTGAGACCAGCTTGGACTATGTAGTGATAACCCTGTCTCAAAGAGACTCAAAGTTGAGATCAATATTTGTTGTTTTATACAGAGGCCTTTTTTCCCCTTTTCTAATGAGTTGTTATTCAGACTTTCTAATTAACCTTGCTTTAGGTTTCCCTGGAGACTGACCAATTGTTTCTGAGACAGGAGAAGCCTCACAAAGTGAACATTTTAAGTGGCAAAAGGCCAACATTTTAAGCAAAATCACTCAAATACACTGTCAGGTTTCTAAAAAATATATCCAGTTCTGCTTTTATATTTTATATTTAAATAATGACTAAATGCATTTTCCTGTATTTTTATTTGTATATATTATCATTTATAGATCCAGTAAGGTTTGCTACAGATAAAACCTTATAAACTAGTGACAGATGATTTCAAAGTAAAATATTATTTCGGATAGAACTCAAACAATTACATTAAAAAAACCTGCATTACATTTGAAAAGTGGTCTAATTTGTATTTCTTAAAACAACAACAGCAACCATAAAATCTTTACAGCCAGGTGTATCTCGGAATTACCTCAGATAAGAATAATTTCAGTCATCATAAATCTTAGGCTTGTAGGAAAAACAGAAGCCAAAACAAAAAATCAGAGCATCTATCAACCCTTTCCCTGATGCCCACCCCGGGGCTCAGGCATAGGCCCTGATTCAGAACCTGCTTGTCTTGCTTCTACAATTGACCTCTTATTCTTGCTTCCTTCAGGCTCTGGTCCCTCCGGAATTTCTGAGGTTGGGAGTCGGTGGAGAAGCAGCAGCTGGTTTCTCCCAGCAGAGAGGCAGGCCCTTTCTTACAGGAGTGTTTTTGACAAAGAAGTCTCAGGGACACCTTACAAACACACAACAAGTTTGTTGAAACAGTAAGTAGCTACAGAGAGCTGACTGTCTAAACGACCCCATAGTCGCATCAGTTAAAGATAAACACGCTGTTGCCTTCACCTGATTGTTTCTGTTTTGTTATACTTAAAACTGTTTAAAGTTCTGGCTCATGATTTCTGTAGAACTTTGGATGCTTGTGCCAAGAATGATTTGTGCAACTACGTTAAACAATGTAACCTCTATT